CATAAAATTTATAAACAAACGCAATACCAAACTGTTCGTATATTTGTTTTAACGTAATTAGAAATTGTTTCCAGTTTTGGGTGCGGGAATATTATAATGGAACAATATTTTCCGTCTCGCTTACTTCACTACAGTGAGTTCCGTTTTGAACTAACTTCGTATAGGGCGCCACGTGGTCAGTTAGTTCTAATTAGCCACTGCTTGAAAGTAAGTACAGTCGAATTTATGCAACACGCAATGTTGCTAATGAACGGAGAGTTTTATGTCAGTCTGGTTGAAAATGGAATGTGTCTTGTGGTCACGTGATTTGCTAACATTTATCTGTGCAACATTTAAAATCTTCATTAGAAAAAAGTAAATTTACAGGTTCTGGTTTTCTCGATCGAAATACGTATTTTTTTTTCAAAGATAAACTAGTTTTTTGAATAGATTTGTATTATTTTAAAACATCTGACGGATGGTAACCACACCCTCTTGTTGTCACAGCCGGAAATGATAAAACACTCGGTATATTTTTTTTATAAATACGAAGCTTGATTTCTTTACTAAAAAAATTAAATAGAACCAATATTCTAAAATCATTAATTAAAAGGTTATTTAGTAGAATAATTGAAAAATTATCTATTTAATTCAAATCTAATTGCTTGAAAAATAAATGTTTGATTTGGCAGTTCGACATTTAATGGTTTTTGAAGAAAAATGGCGGGCGTCCGTTAAAGAATGGAAAGTATCAACATCTTGAAGTAGGTGATTTTCCCAGGCTACAGGAAGTTGCAGAGTGGATACTAATAAGAAGCCAAGTAGAATTATTGGGTTATATCAAATAAAAAAGACACCCTTAATTTTTTAGCATAACCCTAACGTAATATTTAGTACATCGTGTTAGGACGCTATAAAGAGACATATTCTTTTTACCTGCTACTCCATTTGAACTTTCTCTGCTGACGTAAGATGTATAATTAATTTAGCAAACCTACACCCTATACTGAAATGGTCAAAGTTTCTACTATTGTAGAAACACCAAAGGGTAAAATCTTGTGTTATTGACCCATGGTCATCTGAGGTACTCAAATCATTTATGCTGATAGTGTATGGAATATAAATTTTCTTGTGTAAATTTTTAATTCAATAATTACGTGTTCCGTAATACATAAATTTCAGTGAAAATCTTGAGTAGGTATATGTTTAAACTAAATTATGGAATAAATTAAGTTAAGATGTAACTTTGAAAAAAAGTCTAAATTGTCAAAATAAGACTTTTTTGGCAAATAATATACCTTCTAAGAAAATAAAGGGCGGGTGGGCGGGGCTTGTACTTGTTAAGATAAGACTGATTTTGGCAAATAATATAATCTCTAAGAAAACAGTTGGGCGGGGCTAGTACTTACAACTTAAAACACTTTTACACTTTTGAACATCACTTCACGAAAACCCAACGCGAACTAATTGACACAGGAAGAGAATTCGAAAAGAAAGTTGTAGGAGGGCTTGGTGTATTTAACACATCAAAGTCTTTCCCCGAAAAGGAAAAGACAACTTGTATCTGGGTCTGTAAATGGGTGTTTTAATTATTTTAAAACCTACCTACGTACTTGTGTTAAAAAAATGTTGTTCCTTGGTGATTCGCGCAGAAAAATAGATTTGGGTTATTAAATTGTTGGTATTTTGCTAACGGAATTCCCCCAAAACTCAACTGTTATCTTGATCCCCCAGTTCGAGTGGAATACTGCTGATTGTGTTAACTATCAGTCTAACAGCTTCTACAGGGTCCTTTATAAGCAAGCAATAGCTTTACAACTTCCGTCTGAGAGCCAATTAAATGAGTGATGAAAACGGAGTAGGGGTGGGTGGGTCGGGCCACTTCTGACTGTTTACAATCTTAGATTCTACCGTTTTTCAAAATAGAATTCAATCCCCATTGTACAGTAAATAAAATAAGTCAGTGAAATGGAGAAAAGAGAAGGGGGGGGGCTGGGTTTACTTTTTTCTATATCCCCTTCTTCACTCTAGTAGGTACTACTCTTGAAATTGTTCAGTCTTATCTTAGCAAATACTAGCCCCGCCCACCCGCCCTTTATTTTCTTCGTGGGTATGTCATTTGCTAAAATTATTCGTATCTTAGGAAGCACAAGGCCCGCCCACCCGCCCTCTTTTTTCTTAAAGAATATATTAGTTGCCAAAATCAGTCTTATTTTAACAAGTATTAGTATGAAGGCCTTCAGGTTCACTCTGTTTAGACTGGTATTAGTAAATCGTTCGATAAGGTAAATCATTCAGTTCTGCTACAGAAACTATGGGCCTATGGCTTTCCAGGCGCAATTTTATCGTGGTTTCGTACTTTCCTTGATCCCAGCAGACTTGACTTGAGGGTCAGTTTTCATGTAAGCAGATTGCAACATCAGGAGTCCGTCAGGGTTCTATTCTAGGTCCGATATGTTTCCTTATTTATTAACGATATTGGCTCTAGTCTACGGAGTAACTCTGTTTTATTTACTGATGATATAAAGATTTATAGAGCAATAATCTCTTTGATTGGTGTACTCTAAACAGAATAGTGGCAAATGTTGATAAATTCATTGCCATCAAATTCATAGAAAAATCATTGGCTTCAATTTGAATTATAATTTAAATGGTGCATTTATCCCTACCGTTGCTGTTGTTAAAGATCTAGGAATTTCGTTGGATTCTAAATTTTTTTTAATACACGTAGTCTTCTTTTCCCAGCAAGAAACATTAATCATGTTTAAAAAGCTAAATTTTTGTAATAAAACATGGATTTTGCAATTATGCTCAGCGCCTCGGTCTGAAAATAAATAGAAAATTCATCACAACTGAGATCGGGACGGATGGGTGGTGCTTAAGCTGTGACTTTTATTTTCTAAATATAGGTATAGTTTCCTTTAAACAACACGATACTTTTTTTCACATGGTAATTTTCTGCAGAGAAATAGGGATTTTGCAGTTAAGGTGTACTCTCTGACTCACGATGAATAAACAAAATCATCACAGTCTCAACTGTGACGATTGTGAAAAGAAGACTACGTATATTAAAAAAAACAGGGACAAAATATAGCCCCTATATTTTGTCCCTGTTTTTTTTAATATACGTAGTCTTCTTTTCACAAGAAGAAACTAAAACATGTTTAAGATGGTAAACACCCCTCAGTCTGAGAGTTACAGTTACACATTAACAGGATCGAGATAATTAAAAAAAAACCGAAAGTTAAAAACAATTACGCACTTGTATGGTAATGTAATAACAATAACAATAACGTAAACATGAATAAAGATCGTTATTATTAGATCTAGAATTGTAGAATTTTTTCGTCGATCTCGTTCACCCCCGATGTTTCCCATCTCATCTCTTCATCACCACCACCGAATGGCTCCTTTTCATTATTTTTCACTCTCAAAATATCAAGGTCCCAAACAGCACGATTCATTACGTTTCGGTACTCTTGTACTTATTTGTCACCTCACTATGAAACACACATCTTTACCGCTTAATTTAAATATTTATTGTCATTTGTTTTTTAATATTGATGATTTTTTTAGTTATAAGATTCCATTTTAGTATTTTGACAAAAATACAAACTTTCAGATGACTTTTTTGAAATGTAGCTCAAAAAATAAAATGAAAATAATTATTGTAGCAAAAAAATTTTCTTGTGTTTATACAGGATGTTCAAAAAATGGCGCACCAACTCAACGATACATGACACAAATCTAACTTCGAGGAAAATCATTAAACAAATTTTACGTCAATTTGACATTCACTCACAAAAACAAAATATCGAATTAGAATCAAAAAACGTGAAAATTTAGCCACTATTGTTCGATTCATCCTGAACAATTTTTAAGAAATTTATAGATGAAGACAAGGTGCCTTTAAAATTATTTTGAACCATTAAAATTCAATCGATTACAGATACACAACACAGGTATTGAATTAAGATATGGTGAAATTTCGAAAAGAAAAATTAAACTTTGAAAGGCTGAATCTTCTACATTTGGACAAAATGGCTTTTTAAATAAATAATTATTCTCTGCTTCATGAATGGTCCTGAACAACGTACCATAGATTTGGTGCGCTAATTTTTTAACACCTTGTATATTATACAAATAAGGTGTGTAAATTGAGTTTCATGAACCAAAGTACTATTATTTTGTTCTAACACACACGCATTATGTGGAATGTTCTAACAATATTAAGGTCGAAAAGTAAATATAATCTTGATAATAAAATAATTTTCAAAAGTAAGAAAATACGAGAAAAATGGGGAATGATTTCGTACAAATAATATCTAGCGGCAAAATTTAAATCAGAATTTGATGTTCTGTTTAAAATAAAATGCAGTACCATAGAGCTCCAACTGAACAATAGCATTTACTACTTTTCAATTTAACTAATGCAACGTTTGAATCAAAACGTTTAATGCTAAACTAACACTGCCTATTTAATCTCACGAGCAACTTTCAATTCAGATAAAATATTGACTGAGTTTTTACGAGCATCGATCATCTACGACAGGCGAAACGGTTTCATAAATAAACTTTATATCAGAAACTTAAAGAATAAATCGGTAAAACATTTTAGTTACTCCCGGGCCCAAGTTTAGTTACAAATTACGTTGAATGGAACTCAGTCACTACAAACCCATTAAACAGTGTATTTTAAGACTAACTATTCTAGCAACAAAAAAGAAAGTTCCGTAGATGTAGTTACCAACTTTCGTAATTTTATCTCCGCTGAAGCAGGAAATAAAATCAAAATAACGAACAAAATCGAAGAGCAAATAAAGTGAGACCTGAAAGCTCTACGAACCTTTAAACTTTATAATTCAGAGTTGTGTTTACTTTCGCCAGAAATAATATTCCCTCGTAACGCTCTTATATCTTTAGTCAACGTTATTGATATTTAAAGACCCTTAAATATGTTTTTCATGAATAAATATTGTTTATTTAGAACTTCGGGAAACTAATTTTAACCGAAATTACAGACTTCTACTCCGAAGAGACCGTCAACAACCAAGGATTAGAATGCCTACGATTTTTAAACGAAGTCATTTCAGATTTTGACGCTGTAAGACCCACATTTTTCCTTGACACAGATCATCTCATTTCTGTTTCCAGCTTTTGGAGCTGCCTCAGTTTCAAGACATAATAAAAATCAAGACAATCGGTTCAACCTATATGGCAGCCAGCGGCCTAAATCCAACACGTCAAGTCAAAGTGGGATTTCACACGTAATTGAAATATTTTATATAAAATATATTTTTCAGCCTGAAGATCCCATTACGGTGCGGTGGGCGCATCTGGCTCTCCTTGTCGAATTTGCTCTGGAACTGAAAAAAGCCTTGCAGGGTATCAACGAACAGAGCTTCAATCATTTTGTTTTAAAATTGGGTATTAATCACGGACCTATAACGGCAGGTGTAATCGGAGCCAGGAAGCCTCACTACGACATCTGGGGCAACACAGTCAATGTGGCTTCCAGGATGGAAAGTACCGGGAAGGCTGGATGTATTCAGGTTAAAAATCAATATGCTTAAAATTAGAAAGTGTAGTGATAAGTGCTAAAATGTCCTCTCGGTAAAAAGCGCTTACACGGAACAGCAGTTAGAAGAACTTACAACTTACTAATGGGTTCCTATCAAAAATGTCACAGCATATTACAAACTAGCTGGGAAAGTTAATTACAGTTTGCGGAGGAGTACTAAACTATTTGGCGATTAATCAACGGGAAAATTAATTTATGACTTCTGATTTATTAAGATTGTTTTGTGCTGAAGGTCGTGTTTTGGCTTAAAACTATACACATTTTGCAGTACATCCTTGCGTTGGAAATGTTTTTATAACAGTTTAACATAAAAAAAAGGTTTTATTTTTAGAGCCCGGACGTACACCTGCATACTCGTAAACACTCTGACATTAGTCGAGTTACTCTGCAAACTCATTTTTTAAATAGGATCACCCACATAGCAACACTTCATTTAAAAGCTTCCAAGATAATTAATAGTTTTGTGAAATCTACATGTCAAAATTTGTTAGAACTTTTTTAAAAACCGTAAGAAAGGTTGTACTTATTTTTTAACAAGTTTTTCTAAATTTTAGAACTTATAATCATACTGAGATTATTTCGAAAATTTTAAATATCTCTAGTACTTTCTACAGGATACACTTCAGATAAGAAATGCATAACATGACACATTCGGGAATTACCTATCTAGTCTATAGGAATCAGATCAAAAAAATCACTTATGGACACAATTACGCCATTCTATTTCTCTGTATTTCCATACCGTACTTTTTGTGTTTTTGTTTTTTCTTATGATTTCTGTTTGTTTATCATCTCTTTTTCGTTTTGTTGGCGATTTTATAAAAAGCTAACCGGAATTTTTCTAATCATTCCCACCAAAAATGTGATGACGTCATCTGAAAATTGACGTATACAAGGTGAGTTAGTAAATGTATATTTATCTAATTATTGTTTCTATGAAGACCATACTGTAAAATTATTTTTAACTATGATGCCTGTTTTGTTTTTAAGGGGTAAGACATACATTACTTTCTTTAAAAGAAATACACTATACGGTGTGATTGAGAGCACTGCTGGACAATTTTACTGGCGATTGTCTGCCAAAAAATAAGTGAATAATTCTAATAAGAGCATGGTTGATTCTTTCAGAAAATCTTAAAGTACAATTAAGTATTAGAAAACAATTCTATTTTAACACCTTGGTAACAGTTTGTTCAATTTTTAGACGTTGCCAAAGAAGTACATAAGAAAACCATGTGCTTTCTTAATAATAAATTTAAGTATTTTTGAAAACGTAGCGAATTTAAAAATTCTGTACCTTATTTATTTTTGAGAAATGATCTTAGTGTTACTAAAACTTGTTATTTATTTTTTGTCATACAATTCTTCATTAAATTTATGCACTAGTGCTCTGAATCATCTTGTAAATTCTTACATATTCTCGTTAGCCTCTTCGTAGGCTTTGTAACTACAATTCATTTTTGAAATTTCGATGTGACGTTGCCACGTTATTCCAATTCTCATGAAGTTTTTTGGTACAAAAAATTCCCAATAGGATTATTTTTAATATCTGTGTTACAATAGTTTTGGAAGGATAACTAAAGGTACGCGCTTTCTTGTGGTATCAATTAAATCAGATTATAATGCACAGAGTGTTTCTAAAAAAATTCTAAAACTCTTCAGCATTTTATTATTGTATCTTACTCTATTTTTTGTTCTGGTTTTTCTAGTATGGCGAACTGTCTCTTAAAAAAGTAAAAAATCTTAATAACTATCTACTTTAAATATACAAAATACTTAACAAAAAAAGAAGCACAATAATAACATTGTTTTCTCTTTGAAAAAACTGAAATATCGATATTTGAAAATATTGTAATACGTGATTTTTTTTTCAAACATTTTGTATACGAAAATGTATTTTGTTTCATATAAATATAATATAAAATATTGTAACACAGATTTTAAAAATAAACCTAATGCGATTTTTTGTGAACACCATTACTAAAAAAATTCAAGAAGGCTAGAATAACTTGGCAACGTCGCATCGGCATTTCAAAAATAAACTGTGGTTGCATATTCTAAGAAGAGGGCAATCAAAATATCTAGATATCTAAAAATATATAGGGTGTTTTATAAAAAATACCAGTGTGTTATGTTACAGGACACTCTGGAAAGAACCGTACTACGTTGGTTTTGACTTTTTTTATGTCCTATAATTCATGAGATATCGATGAACGCCCGTTTAGTGACTCACCTGTGTATACGTAAATATATATATATTTTGAAAATATTTTCTTTCATTTACGTATTTTTGAATTGTAAATTTAGCTTTGAAAATTATTCATTGTTTTAGGGTTTAAAATTGGAATTTGTACAGAACAGAATTTTTTCTTTAATATTTTGAAACTTCTAAATATTTGATAAAAAATTTTAAGCTTTCCAAACGTGATATGGATTCTATAGAAAAAAAGTGAAACTTTCAATAGCTTTTCATCAAAATTAGTCTAAGATTGTTTACTTCCCTCTCCATTAAGGTACAGTAGATACAACATATCCAGCTTTTTGAATAAACTGCTTTATTCATTGTTCTTTCTTAAGCGTAAGCGAAGTACTCGCAATAGGGTTCATGGCGTTATTGATCTTTTTTCGACGTTTCTTGATCCCTAGAGTACGAAAAAAGTGGTCTCCCGTTCGTCTCTGTTCTGTCGGCTGTGTATAATGTACTTTAGAAGTATCGTGTAGATGGTAAAACGCTAACCAAAATTTGTTTCGTCGTCCCCAAAACACTTTAATGACATCTGCCCATTTTATTGCGTATTTAAGATAATCTAAATTTTATGAAATGACATACTCCTATACTTGCGGTTTATGAATCTACCCTGATTTTGTTTTATCATTTAATCCTTCGTGTTCTTTAGACACATATACAAAGTATACAGAAATACAGTACTGTTATTATTTATATTTCCGGTAACTATTCAAATTGACGTAAATGTACCTTTTAAAATATTCATCAAGTCATAACAGAATTTTGTTATGGAAAACTCATTTGAAACATACGTATAACATGCTCCTTTACCCGTAGTTTAACAGTCCACACATAGATTTATTTTGCGTTATAAGGGTCATAAAAAATACATAAATAAAATGTGCATAACATGACTACAGGGACGAGGGAAGTTTTGTCGAAATAACCTTTGATTAATTTTTTAAAGTCATCTTTGTAATGAAATTTTGCGAATTTTTAAATTAATGTAAGTCTAGCTAGAACCAGTGGCGTAGCATTTTTGAATAAACATAATGTCAAATTTTAAAATCTTTGTTTTTCCAACGCCCATGATTTGAACATACATTTACAATCGAAAAAATTATCGTGTACTTTTGGAAGACCGCAACCCCGTACATATCATGTTTGGGGAGATGCTATGGTAAAAAATCAAGGCGAATTCATAAACTACAGCAGTATGCTATTTTATAAAACTTAAATAGTATTTACCATGCAAAGTTTTAATCTATAGGTAACATAATGACAAATTGTTGATGGAGATGGTCAGAGAAATTTTGATTGGCGTTTTACCAATTAGGCAATATTCATAAAATACCTACCTAAAAAATTTGAAAATAATAATCGGTCCAGTAACTTCGGACATGATCTGTCTAATAAATATCGACACAGTCGACAGACAGAGGACAGATGGCAGACAGGGAGGCAAAAACAAGATCTCTATTTTTTCATTCTCTAGAACCCGATTTACAGAAGCTCAGTTAAATATTTGATATTGACGTTGCTAAATGCCTCATTAAATGTGTGATTAGTTTCATTTCAATTAAAGTATTATATAAACCACCCCCAAGAGTCACGAAACGTTGAGAAAATGAAAGTAAGTGCAAGTTCCAAGTACAATTTGTTAGGAAATGTTTTATAAAGCAGCTATGCATCTTTTATGTGAACTACAAATAATTTTCCGCTCCTCAAAACTTTTCATTTCTAATCTTTCTGCTTATAACTTTTTTATTATTCACGCTAAGCAAAAACTACAAAAATGCCTTTTTCACATATTCTACTGTTGTTTTAAAGATGGCAGCCGATTTACAACATTCCATGTCCCAAAAACGTATTTAAAAAAAATCGTTGCCTATTTTTGAGCACTGAAGTAACTGGAAAATTTATGGATACCTAAAATTTTCAAAAATATCGCTTGTCACTACAATTACGAGATGATTTTAGTTATCCTACCAAGTTTGCTTACAATAAATGCAAAAGTACAAGGAAGAAATTTTTGTTTCATGAAGAATAAATCCAATATTTTTTCCTGTTAATCAGATCTCCACACATCAATAGCCAGTGGCGGCACGTGACCTTTTGAAATAGGGGGACACAATTTGGTTGATGAGTTAAATATAAACATATAAAACAGGTTATTACTAATTAATAGACGAAATTGTCTGACGGAAATAAGTACAAAAATACGTTCAATAAAAGTAAACAAGTATTTTTATTTTTTACTATTTTTTTCACAACCGCACATCCACGAATATTTATCATACGTGTTACGTTTATTAAAACATCTATGAAAGTCTCCCGTTTTGCCATGAATACTTTTTTATTAATAATTCGGGGTGGCTCTCAATAAATTTTTCACCAAAATTTTATCGTCGTGACACAGAGGACGGTTTTTTATTAAATATTCAACCGAATTCATTATTTTTATTTAAAATCAAACAGTTTCATTCGCGCAGAATGAAATTTAAAATCCACAATTGAGTTACTGTGGTCACTGTCGGAACAGGACCCGATTCCAACCCAGTACCGCGACTAGACTCATGGTTTCCATGGCAACGGTGTAAACAAAACGTCTAAATGAGCCATGATTTGGTCTTCATCTCCGTTTTTATCAGCACTTCATCAGCAGACATATCATATATCCAAGACACAACAAAGACACAACATCTTTAGATGTAAGTTTTGATACATTTTATACAGGTGAAGCG